ATGGGATTTTGCCATGTTGGCCAGGCTGGTCTTGAACTCCTGACCTCAGGTGATCTGCCCACCTCAGCCTCCCAAAGTGCTAGGATTACAGGTGTGAGCCACTGCACCAGGCCCTGGATATTTTTTTAAAAGCATCCTTAAAGCATGTGTGTGGACATAAAGATGGGAACAATAGACACCGGGGTCTACCAGGTCTACTAGTGCAGGGAGGCAGGAGGGAAAGGGCTGGAATAAAAATAAATTTAAAACAGCTGTCACATTCAAATATCATAAAACAATCCATCCATCCATCAATCAAGCAAGCAAGCATGTGTGGCCAGAGAACTTAAAAGCTAAGAAACTGCCAAGTGTCAGTCACTGCTTCTACTAAAATGATGTGATAATTGCAGATAATTTTATAGATCCCAGACCTCCAAGGCTCCATGAAACAATGCACCATGGCTTAGAATTAAACAAGGTAGAGGAAAGGTCATTTTAAGTAGCAGGGAGAATCTATTTGCTAAGAATAGATAATACAGTTTCCTTCTGCTCCATATGGAGACATCTGAAAGACCATTTAAAAGCAGGAGGAGGCACAGGAGCTGGCCTGAGCCAATTCCCTGCTCCTCTCTCCAGGGTATAAACACCATCAAGGCACTCCAGGGAATCCCATGAAAAAAGAAGCCTCTCTATCCTGGAGAGCTGTTTATTTAGGCAATTAACAAAATACAAAGGGGTCCTTTAAAAATAAATCATGGCTGCCAGGGACACCTTGGTTTTGCTCCTAATCATCTTGGGCTCCCGTCTTGGGCTTTTCCACTTTTCGCACTTTCCTTGTCTGAAAACAAACACTTTCCGGTGAATTTTTCCACTTAGAAATATAATTTCAGGATTCAAAATATGGGTGAATTTTAGATAAAAGTACCACCACAACAATGGCACTTCCGAAAATACAGACAATAAAAATTAATTATTAGAGAAATCTAAATCAAACAACATCTAGAAAGTTGATGTGTTCCACAGTGAATTGAAACCGTGAAGGATCTGGCTTCAGCCATCCAGCCACAGCATCACGGCTTGTCCTCCTGGAGAAGCACGGTGACAGGACCTAAGGGAATAGGGCAGGTCCACCACTCGGAGGCTCCCAAGCTAGGAGGGGGAGGCAGATTTGTACAGACTTTATGACTGTCTGCACTGTGTAGTTTTTATACCAGGCACCTTGTTGAACACGAAGAACAGGCATTCAGCGTCACGTCTCTTCAACGGGAAAACAGTCTAGAGCAACAGATCTGGTTCTGAAGCTATGTGTAATAACATACCATCGCGAATGCTATTACCGCAATTCCTTCATCCCCTGGCGTTGGGCAGTATACACTGAAGCATTTCAAGATGGTCAAAATTGTCATCATAAGTGTTTTCTGTGATATTCTGGCATTTAACTGATTGGTGTCTGCCATTGTAGATAATTCAGTTATTGTCAAATCGTATTTATTTGGAGCAACCTTCATTATGAGACAATATAAACCAAATACGCACAAAAAACGCAGGTGTGATCTATTTTCTTATTCAAAATAGTGTTCAGGTAATTTTTATTCAAATTACTTAAAAATCTACATAAACACTTGGTTAAAGCAATTTAAATCTTACTTCCATACAATCACTATTTTATGTAAAATGTTTCAAGAATACCAGAAATGTAGAGGGTATAATATAAACACCCATATACATACTACTACATTAATGATACACATGAAACTCCTCATAGAGCCCTTTCAAATTCAATTTATTTCATTCCCTCCACTAGTAAGTGACCTTTATCATATACTTGCTCTCCATGCATGTTTTTATACCTTTACTGTAAATGTCCATATTCAGAAACAACCTATTGTTTCGCATATTTTTAAGTTTTATACTATAAATGCCATCTTGTACCCAGAATTTGCTTTTAGCACTGCTTATCATTATATTCTTGATAATTATACCTGCTGATACATATACACTGGTTCAGTTACTTTATCTGCTGTATAATATTTCACTATCTGACTATATTATGATTTTGATAGGTAGCTGGAAGGAGGGGGATAAGAGAATGAGATAAACTTTAGTTCCAAGGAGAATGAGGGGGAAAATGCGGGAAGAATCTGGGATCAGAAGAAGCCTTGGCACATGGCTATTCATTGAATGGAAAAAGAGAAACAGCTAAAATCCAGCTGTCTAGGAAGCTGGAATGCCTCTGGAAAAGTGATCTGGAGTTAGCTGGTATCTTGTAACAGCATCTTGCCTAGAAAGCAGTTTCCGTCACTTCTCTTGTCCATTACCCTTTGCGCCATGAAAAAAAGGAGGTCACAATCATTGCTTCTGCACCTTTTAAAAATGTACATAAAACAAGAGACTCTTGAAGTTAGTTCTCGTTAAAATGATTGTAAATAATAAATTAGTGGGGATCTGAATTTTTTTCTAGACAGAATAGTTTGCTTTTTCATACTTTCAATTAATAACAAGAAAAACACTTCCTGTGTTCTTTCATTTGTGAAAGCTTTCAATTTAATACATGTTTTTACGATGATTCTGCATGTAAAAATTATCTTTAAGCTTATTTAAAGCAATATTCAAATTTTTCCAAAAAATCTGGAACACCCCGTAAATTTCAGAATAATAAAAATGCAATTTAAAAAATACTATCCTTCAAGACATATAGATTTGAAGCAGCAGATAAATAAAAATAAAGGCCTGTTTAGCCTTTATCAAAGTATAAACCCGCTAACAAGTTGGACCACTTTGCTGTATAATCAAAGACAATAAGAAATACATCACACTGTGTGCAGTTGCTCACTGCTAATATGGGGGGAAAAAGACTGAAAAGAACAGCAGGAGCAAATCCTCAATCTTTCTGAGAGAAGATATAAAAATATTTCACAGCATTTATGGAGGAGGCATGTATGCAGTAAATAAACTAAGAAAGTGTTAACAGGTTTAATTATCAGGTATATTATGTTGGCTGATACTAATAAAGATACATTTCTGCCTTTCTTCATTAGATTTGTATAAAATCACTCTAGCGTTTATTTTAAAAACCATTTTCCCTTTCTCAAAGTCATAAAAGAACTCTGCATGCATGAGGAGAGTAATTACTGGCATCTGTACAGTATTCACTGAAAATGCTGAATGACACTGGGTTCTAGAACAGCTATGTCAGGCATTGTTAATTCTCTGGGGAATATTTGTGTTTAACAGAAAATACAAAATAGTATGTTTACTTTTGGTTTACCTTACTTGGAAGTATTAATTTTCCCAGAATTCACTGAAAAAGGTAGATTTGTGTTCACATATACATATACAGTGTGCTTCATGCTCATCATCTGAATGCTCAATTGACTTTTAATAGGGAGGGGAGTTTAAATGGCTCTGATGTAATTCAGACCTTCTCTATGGTTCCAAAGGATGGGCTCCAAACAAACTTATGCCATCATTCTTTTTTCAGTGAAGACACCATTTTCTCAAATAAAGAAATTTAAATATTTTCTTTATCACATATTTTCACATCAACTCATGGCTATCAGCTAACTTGAACAGAATTGAGACTTATGCAAGTGTGAAAGAGGAAATGCCCCTTAAACAGAAAAAGGAAATCCAATTCCATAATTAACATGATCTTTATATTATTGGAAATATTAATGTGATAAAACAAGAAACAAAAAATAAAACCCATGTGCAATCTATTAAAAAGGCTAAAAACAAGATTTGACTGAAGTTCTGAAGTTTTCAAATAAAAAAGAAAGGGTGTTTAAGCCTTAAATAAAAGTACAAACAAGCAAATGAGATTTTTTTCCATAAAAGTATTTCATGTAGTTTTCTATTTTTCTTCCGCCTCAGCATGAGAAATATCAAAAAGTTTGGACTTCCTAAGTTTAGGCAACAGAGTCCTAATCATGATGCCGAAGAGGGAAGAGTTTAAATCTAAGGGCATTTCCTATAGCAAACTATTTTCTGTTAAACTCTAGCACAGAGAGATGGAAGCTGAAAGCTAGTGACAATTTATCTAGGCACATTTTCTAAAAATAATAATCCAGTGTCTGCCTGGCAGCCTAGACTTGTACAAAGGACAGGACACAAAATGAACAATAAAGAAATGTGCACAACTGATGAATTTTTGGTTCTTGGACGCAAAGGCTGAAATTTTCCAAAATCTAGCCAAAAGAATCTCATATTTCAACAGTCGCCACATGTTTTTTTAATCCACCAAGATGAGAGTGGCGAAAACTTATCTTAAATACTAATTTTTTTTTAAAGGAGCTCCTCCATCTACTAACTTATTCAACTTAAATCAGACATCAAATGTAAATGTTTCCCGACCAGCCCTTACACAGTACTTTTGGACAACGAATTCGACCTTAAATTGTAGTCAAATATTGAAAGTAGTTAATTCTGACCTCAATTTCATTCTGCAACTTGCTAATGGAAAAAAGTACGATTTATGCAAATATATTATTGGCCTTAAAAATAAAAGATTAAAACACAGTATAAAGAAATCAAGTCAAAGTTCATAAATCCGTTATTTTACTACATTATATTACATGAATCAGTTCAATAAGATCTAGAGCTAATAATGGAAAGTTTAACTGATTCAAAGTTTCTAATTCAAATGCAAAAGTACATAACTTACTCCACATAAAATCCATAGTATAAAGAAAAATCATGGATTTCAGAACATCAGAGCACTAATTCTGGATTCAGATCAATTTATACTATCTGCTGACCAAATAATATTTCTGCTTGATTATATAACAGCATTAAAAAAAATTAAGACTCTCTCAGGAATAAATATGCATTTAGGTTTACAATGGCCATATAGAAGAAACCCTGGAAATTACCATAAAATCATTACTGTTTGACTTTTATAAATAATTTATTTTCTTAATTCAGTTGATTACCATTAATTCTGCAACTTACACTAATGAATCAGAGAAGAATCGTAAACTACATATTAATAAAAAGAAAACAAGGAAACAAAATAATACTACTTACAGACTTCCTCTTCTGGGGAGACTCAGCTCCTTCTGCAAAAGAAAAAAAAAAACATATATAATTGGTGCTGCATTAACCTTAGATTACTAGGATACCAAATGGATAGCATGGAATGCATCGTCCTTCATTATGCTTGATTTGGCATTTCCTATACTGAAAACATTTTAACGTCATAATTTTATGCTGGATCCCTTCTTACACGGTTCTCTTTACACACTGTGTTTAAGGTACAAACACAGCTTACCTGAATTCCAGAGCAGCAAAACCATCAATCTTCCCAAAGCAACTACAGTAAAATAGTGAGTTGAGTTACATGGCCCTACAATTGAGCATACAGAAACTTATCCAAACAGGATATAGATATAAGAAGTAGGAGATATTCTACAGGATTATAATTAAATGAAAGGTACAATAAAAAGGACAATGAAATCAGACTGTTTGCCCTCAATAGAAATATATTCACACAAAACATTATGCATCCCAAAGATTGTACTTTCTTATTATTCTTTAAATAATAATGGAAAAGATTTCCTTTTGGTATTATTTCTCAAAACATGCATTTATTCCTTGGGATATTTAAAAATAGCTTAATCAACTTCTAAAAGGTAATCAGACAACCACTACAATTATCGGAGTGCTTCATAGTTTTAAAAGGACATCCTCACACTTACCTCAATTTTAGATTCTTATCTACCTAATCGTCAAAAGGCTTTGAAAAACCAAAAAAATCACCCAAGAAAACAAGCCAACCAAAGAAATAAACAAAAATAGATTCAGAAATACCTCTATCTACCAATAAAGTTTTCAAAACTCAAGAATAACTACTTGCTGCCCATTATTAAAGAATAGGAAGCAATGAGTCATTTGGCTATTTAAACTCAAAATGAAGAGTACTATGACTGAATTTGGTTATTCACGTCCATAATTCTCATTTATTTTTCTGCCTTTCAGGTGCTTGAGCATTATCCTTTGAAAGGTATTTTCCCATCAGCTTCAAACTCACCTTTCCTGTCTCTGATTTTTACTGAATGTTTGTCATGGACAGCAGGCTCACCTATCACTTATCCACAGCACAACTTACTCCAGCACAGCTTATAGAAAATGGCCTTGAGAGTATCAGACCAGAGGGGAGGAGAGCTCTGCGGCTGCTGTTTTAAACACAGCAGACCTTACTTATTAACCGGCAAATATATTTCCATACAGAGTTACAGTAATCATATAACTGTTCAACAGCAAGGAAAACAATCAGCAATTTTAGGAATGAAGTATCGTCTTCTTTTTCCAAATAGCAAACGTTTTCAAGGGCTCTAGGGTTCAGTGGTAAAGTGCTTTTTTGTTTTGTTTTGCTTTCCTTTTTTCTTTAATCCTTGATTAGCTCCAAGAAATTATAGTGTTTGCTAAACTTGGCTCTCTGATTCTGAAACATAAATATACCTTCATTTACTAAAACCCCTAATGACAAGAGAAAAGTCTCTGCCCAAGACAGTCTTCCTTGGGAACTGAAACATAAATAGAAAACTAATGAGTAATTTTCTGTACAAGGATCTTTGATTATGATAAGCATTGAGAAATCAGTGTTGTATTCAGGTTAAAGAAAAGAAAGAGAGAACTCCCTAGACATAATAGGTCACCGGACTTTATCTTTTATTTTTTAATTTTTATTTTTATTTAGGATGAGGTCTCATTACATTGCCCAAGCTCGTCTCAAACTCCTGGGTTCAAGCATTCTCCTGCCTTAGCCTTCTGAGTAGCTGAGATTACAGAGTACACCACTGTCCGAGGCTCTGGCCATTTCTCCTGGAAAGGAATTGATACCACTGCATACCAGAAGGCCTAGAGACCAAATGAATAATACTGCTCTGTCCAATAAGTTGATCGGACAGCTGCATAAAAGGTACCTGAGGTTTTATCATTAATAACAAAAATAATAAATCAGATGTTCTTTCAACTATATACGCAAATAGATCACTCAGAAGATATAAGAGGAAAGGGGCCAAATGAATGACCCAAATAGTTCCATCAATCATATTCCACCAAATGACCCAAGCATAAACTGGCTGCTTTGCTTTGAGAAAAAGCTGCTGAAACAGCAAGATAAGAGATAAAAACAACTCTGTTTTTAATCAAAAGTCTTTCCAGTAGGTCTAGAATTATGAGTTCTAAACAAGGAGAAAGGTTACAGTGGGTAACCCAGCACTGCAGCTCCACAGGACAGCGGCCGAGATTCCAAGATGAGGAGCAAAGGACATTTAATAGGCCACAGTCAACTGACCTGAAGCTACCACGCTAACCAAGCTGAAGGAGCTAATCCACCTGATGGCTTGAATGTCAAGCTCAGGACTGGAAACTCAATTTGGTAGCAAATTGGAATCAGATGTGATGGTAATAAAGTGAGAGAAATGAATGTGCCGTGGCCAAGACCTTGTGAACAGTAGCTGCAAAAGTCTGCCAATACCAGGAGGGCTAAGCAATTGCAGCCTGAGCAGGGAGCAGCTCCTGCTCTAACAGACGAGGGCCACAAGCTGATAAATCTGCACCCGTCAGACGTAAATGAACAGCATCAAGGCATTTTATCGCCAAAGTCCCTGTGGCACTTTGTGTATGTGTCCTCATTTTATTTTCTTAATGTCAGGATAAGGTCACTAACGCATACTTAGATAATTAGATGAGACGTGGTATTGGTCTGAGTCATAAACCTAAGCTTGTGCTTGACGTATGTGGAGTGTGTGTTAAAAATTTACTGTCAGGTAAGAATTGGAGGAGGAAAGAAAAAGGGAAAAAAGAGAAACAACAGCAAGAAGTATCCATCTGAACTAAACAATATGCTAATTGTCACTGGATTAAAGAAATTCTTAAGATCAAAAATTCCTAGACTTTCATTAATATTGATTACTCAAATGACATTTAACATTTTTAGAGTTGCTGTTTATTATTTGCTTGACATTGTATCCTTCCCCCACTGACTTTCTAGTGTTAACTAGCAAATATTTGCATTAAAAATAAAGATTACATAAAATTAATCTTGCCTGGGAATCCTATTATTTTTTAGATCCCTCAATTACCTGAAGATACCAAAAGGTCCCTCCAATCCAGGAAGAAAACTCATGGAGAGTCCGAGAAGAAAGAGGGGTAAATGATTCTGCTCCTTTCTCCCAGTCACCCTTAGCTTCAAAAGAGAAAGTGACTGTTTCATTCACGAAGATGGTGAGAAAACTGCCATGTTTTATATGTACAAGCAATTTCCACAGTGGTAATTTTAAAACTATTTACAATGTTTAGCATTTAACAGCTAGTCATAGACAAATAAAATATGGCTATACATGCTCCATGTGTTTAGAGAATCTCTGAACTCTTTTTAACTAAGGGTGAACTTATGATTTAAAATAGGACATTTACAGAAGTCCAAATAATGTATGCAGATATTCCATTCTTCAAGAGGTAGAGCTTAATTCTCCTCTCTTTGAGAGTGGCCTGTGAGCAAATAAGAGAATACAGAAAGGGAACAATAGCAACATTACAGTGGGGAAACCCACAGATATCACCATAACTAAGTGATCAAGGCTAACTTCTCCAGTGGTAAGTCACACTGACATCATGCTGTTATCCTCTGATACGAGGGAGGAGAAGTGGTATTCAAGATGTCCGTCTGTAAGAATACCACCTGATGCCTGTGGCATTCTCTCCAAAATCCATAACACCAAGCTAATCGTGAAAAAGCCTCAGGCAAACCCAAATGTAGGGACCTTCTAAAAACATCTGATCAGTACTCCTTACAGCTGTCAAGGTTGTGAAAAACAAGAAAAAATTAAGCAACTGTCACCGATCGGAGAAGACTAAGGGTGGCTACATGCAATGAAGAATCTTGAATGAATAAAGAATTCTGAATTGGATCCTCAGTGAGAAAAAAGACGTTAGTGGAAAACTTCATGATATCTAAATAAAGTCTGTAGTTTAGATAACAATGTACCAATGTTGTCGTGATTTTGACAAATATATTAAGGTTACATATGATGTCAACATTATGAGAGACTGGGAAAGGGGTATACAATAATTTTCTGAGCCATCTTATACATTTTCCATAAATTTAAAATTATTCCAAAATATTAAAGAAAGCGTATCAAAAGGGGGAGACAGGGAGAAAGAAAGACTGGTGTGGGGCTGGAGAATAGAAGAAATGAACACATAAATATCTAAATATTCTAAGCTTACTTTAAGGCAATATTTAATATCAAATTTTTAGGAAGCTATAGAAATACTCTCGGTGAGAGAGATTCTGGCTAGGACCAGCAATGAAGATGGTAAGGGGTAGTCAGATTTAAGATATGTCTTCATAAAATTTACACACAAACTGGATGTGGAGCGTGAAAGAGAAAGCAAGGAGGAGTCATAAGTTTTCGGCCTGAGCAAATGGAGTTTGATGGGAAAACAGTTCAGCTTTGACATGCTACATTTAAGACATCCGTCTGTAAGAATTCCAAGTAGAAGTTTTAAAACAGGCAACTATACAAATGAATCTGGGTGCAAGAAAAAGGTCAGGGTTGCAGGTTGATTTTGGAGTCATTATGACCTGAGATTCTACGTAAAGCCATGGGGCTGGATGAAACAGGAGAGACTCAATTAAAAAAAAAAAAAAAAAAAGAACAAAGACACACCTGGTTACAAAGCTATGGGCACTTCGCCATTTAACATAAAGAGGAAGGGAGGATTGCGCTATACACTGTTAACTGACCTGTTGCTCTACCCAGCAGCTGGAGTTCTTGAAGTCAGTGGAAACTGAATGAGACTGACAAGTAAACAATCTATGTATGGACAGCTATCGGCACTGCTGAAGGCAATAGGATGGTTGGGGAGACAAGGTCAGAAAGTAGGCAGGAACCAAAAAATTAAACCCAGAGAATATGACCACACCCAGGGAACAGCCCAGTTAGGACACCTCTGCAGCGGAACACTAAGTGGGAGCTCAGCCTCCAGGGAGAATCGCTAACTGCCCCCCATACCTTCACTTCATCTCTCCTAGCAGGTGTCCTGCAAG